ATCGGGACGAGGCAAATTGTCATCCCTATGTACAACTTGAACATTTAATGATATTATTTATATGCGTTAATTTTTCTTTCATATTTTTTGATCAATCACTAATGCAAATACATATCATATAGACTTCTATCTAATTCTATCCAATAAACAAATATAAACAATAAGAATTAATTGAAAGACTTCTTTTATTATTAATAAAATAAATAAAATTTAATCCTCATTATCACCATCTTCTCGCATCATCTTCAAAGTGTTGGTTGTTCGGAGGAATAACCGACTACTAAATTATAAAAGGGTTAGCAAGAAGGATCAAAGGTGATTAGAGGTTCTTAAACAATCCTAAAATCTCCGTAATTGAGTCTATATGCTTTCAACTTTATCGGCCTATTGTTGGATGGTGGCCTCCATCCTCTTGATCTTATCTTCGTATTGAACAAAAACCTCATGAATATTACTACTAGGATATCGCAAAGTGTCGAGGCGAAGCCGGCATAATAATACGAGTAATATTGAGATGTATAAGTTTTGATGTCGTATACTCTTTGCTTCTTCTTTCCTCTAATAGTATCCAAATATATCTTTGATGTGTCGAGATCTTGAGATGATACATCACCCTCCTATCATTTTTCAGCAATTGGTTCTTGCATTAATTGTACGTGCTCCTAAGTCATTGAAATAATAATATTATTAAATTATAAATATATTTTTTAGATTATATTGAAAGATATAAATATTTTTGAAAAAATATAAATATAAAATGTTGCCATTACTATCCGTGACCATTTATCAACGAATGTCTCTCGCCTTTTGCTTGTGAGTGGTCATGAACGACTTGTAAAGATTTAGGTTACTACTCAATTTATCATGCTAAAAAAATAAACAAAATAATATGAGATGAAGTAAATAAAAAAATTAATTTATAATACAATAGATAATATAGTATTTACCAAACATTCGATCCGCTCGATCAACGAGATGGACCCTCTAGTATGCTTGGATGGGCCAACACTAATATCTCCCATCTTTAACATGCGGTTTCGAGATGCTTGCTAAGATTGAGCTTGATACTCAAGAGTGGTCAAATTCAGGTGTCATGCTTCTTACACCTCTTATTTAACAAACATAGGTCCGTTATCCTTATTTTTCAGCTTGTTGAGCATGTCGTCGTACCACCTCTATGCTAAACTCTCTCACACATCCTTAATCAATGCATCAACAATCACATCTTAAAAAAAGTACTTTTATATGAAGGAGAAAAATAATATTTAGTACTTTTTATGTTAAATTAACACTTTAAATGAAATATAAGCAAATAATTAATATATTACTCTAAAGTCATTAAAGTAAAAATCTTTCATCTTCATATAGATAGACTTCCATATAAACTCAACGATGTCCAACCGTTCGTTAAAAATTATAGTGATTTTTATGGAGCACTTGGTTGATGGAACCAATGGTCTAACAAAACAAACAAATAATATATAAATGAATTAATGATTTCAATATAATATATGAAAATATAAAATTAATTATCTATGTAAAATATACTACTTACCGATTATTCATGACCTAAATGGTCCATCCATCATCAAATCCAAGTAGAACTTATTAGAGTCGAGAAAATTGTAGTGGGATAATCTACAATAGGTGGACACTACTTGGAGGGGGCACTCGTTGGAGGGGATGTAGACATGCCCGCGCCACTATTATTTGTGTAGCTACAACCATTAGACCAATAATACCACATACACCGCCACTATTAGTCTAATGATCAATATTAGAGCCATGATCTCTAACACCACGAGAAGATCTATTCAATCCACGAGACATGACTAAAGAATAAACCTAAAATAATTTAAAAAATAAAGAACAATTCAATAAAAAAATATATTATAAATTATTATGAATAAAAACAAACAAAATTTAACACATCTAAAATGGATAATATATATATAAAAGCATAATAGACAAAGCAATATTATAAATTATTTTGTTTTAGCATTTTCAAGAAAACATAAAATTATTTAATTAATAATTTTTTAAAACATTTAATAAAATTTCAGCAAAATCTCTCCCGTAAATTGCACTATTCCTAATCAATATATATCACAAATGATCACAAAAACATTAAGCACACTAAAATCAACAATTGTCTTGAATACTCCATTAAAATTGAATCACAAACTCTTCCTCCCAACTCCATCATAGAGTATTGAACCAACCTCATTTTTCCTCAAGTTTCAAAGATCTCCAACTCGTCGAGTTTGATATATTACGACGCATCTTGATACACTTCAATAATTACATACAAAATAATTAAACAAAGTAATTCTAAATTTAACCTAATTTAACAATTTCTAATATAAATAAAGCTTTAATTCAAATAATTAATAAAAAATTAACCTAAATAAATAAATATTAAATTAACTTAATTAATTCTAATTTTAACAAAATTAAATTTTATTTAACAATTAATTAATAATTTTAAATATAAATAAAGTTTTAATTCAACCTATTAAAAAAAAGTTAACCTAATTAAATAAATAAATAAATATCAAATTAACTTAATTAATTCTAATTTTAACAAAATTAAATTTTATTTAACAATTAATTAATAATTCAAATATAAAAAAAGTTTTAATTCAACCTATTAAATAAAATTAACCTAATTAATTAAATAAATAAAATTAAAATTAACTTAATTAATTCTAATTCTAACCATATTAAATTTTATATAGCAATTAATTAACAGTTTCATATATAAATAAATTTTTAATTCAACCTATTAAACAAAATTAACCTAATTGATTAGTTAAATTAAATTCATATTAACTTAATTAATTTCAATTCAAACCAGCATTAAATTTTATATAAAAATTATTTAGCAATTTCAAATATAATTAAAATTTTAATTCAACCTCTTAAACAAAATTAACCTAATTACTTAATTACTTAATTATAAATTTAATTAACCGAATTAAGACTAATTGAACAATTAACTAACAAATATATAATCGATTAACAAATTTAGTCTAATTCAATCAAATGAACATATAATTAACCTAATTAATTAAATAAAATTAACTTAATTAATTAAAAAATCTAATTTAATTGAAATTATAATTAATTAACTAATTAACCTAACAATTAAAAAATTTTAATAATTTAATAAATAAATCAACAAAATAACAATTAAACATATACACAATCATAAACTCGGTAATTAAACTTAGATTAACTCGACAATTATAATAAAGTACTAATTTTAATCAAGAAAATAAAAGAGAGAAAAAAGTACCTAATTCGAGTGGAATTACACTAAGAGGATGGAAGAAAAAATAGCGTTTTTTGGAAGAAAAGACCTCAAAGTGGGTGAGAATCGATTAAGAGTGGAAGAGTGAAGTTTAATAGTGTTTGGAGGGAGTGGGAGATCACTAGTAGTTGTTGGTTTTTGAGAGGGAGAAGAAAACGGAAGAGAAGGGGGTTAAATTAGGGCTGGAACTTAGCGATTGACGCAATCCTATCTCTAGTCCGTTGCTAATTTGTGTCTACATGTGCGCCCAATTTTCAATAGCTGGACGCCCATTTTTTTCACATTTAGCTATGGACTTAAGTATCCGTCATCAATTCGTCTCAATTTGTAGGTATCCATCGCTAATCCATTGCAATATTGGTAGTTTTTATATTTCAAAAGCTCAACCTCAATTTTGCTCAAAAACTCTCCTTTAGCGACGGATTTTACCGTCACTAAATTGCAAGGGAATGAGAATTTAGTGATGAATACTTTGTCCCTAAATCATTAGAATGAAAATAAGGACGGATATCAAGTTTGTCGTTATTTTTTCTAACAAATTTGTCGGTAAGCCATCTTTAAAATATTCGAGAATATTATACTACCAAATTTAGCAATGGATTTGTGTTCATCACCAAAATACAATCGCTATTCCGTCTATAATACGTTGCTAAATTCAAGAGTCGCTATTTTCTTTCTATTTAGCAACGGACTTGATTCCGTCATTAAATTCCGTTGCTATTTAGTAAATTTCTTATAGTGAAATCAATCTATATAACCCAAAACTTTGATCCCACATTATAGTATAAAAAAGAAAAAAAATACCTGTATGAACCAAAATCATAAACCACTAGTCCTAAATTTTTTTTAGCTTTGTGCAATTAAGATTAAGATTAACCAATTAATAATAATTAATGCAAAATAAATAAATACAACCACAATCAACACATGAGTTTTTTTACTTGAAAGCCTGATGTCGGGAAAAAATCAAAGAACCATAATCCACTCAAATTCTTTCACTATAAAATAATAAGATATATGATTTTTTTTTTATAGGCTCAACTAGAAAATATACATCAAAATATCAAAGTCATTATCATAAAATAGATTTTACAAGTCGAAGGCTCATCACCGAAAACAACATATCGAAATTTCATCTCAGTACAATATATATAATAGAGTTTGAAACCACCATCCAATTGAAAAAAAAAACAACAATTTGTCTTTCTCTCCGTACAACATAATTTCCATTTCTACCCTTTTTTTTGTTTTTTTTTGCCATCTCATCTCAGTTAGCAGAATCGTTGGCAGCTACTAAATAAGCAAAAGTTTGGCTTATATATCTGACTTTTTATTCTTTCTTATTTTAGTCCCTCTTCTTCTTCTTCTTCTTCTTTTCCTTGTTTAATATATATATATATATATATATATATATATATATATATATATGTGGGTTTTGAGCTCCATATGAATAGGAATCCAACCCAACAAAACAAAGCATTTGCAGTGACACAGAGATCACCATGACTGACGCTGCATAGCCAATGCTCCTTTCAAATCCAATTCCCTTTGGCCAAGAGCTCAAAAGAAATGCAATTTACTCTTGTTTAACTTCTGTAGGTACGGTTCTGTTTTGATGGGAAAGGAGATTTCTGGATTTAAATCTATCATGAAGTCATTTTTGGTTTTGATTACAACTGCAATAGCCATGGGAGAAACTCTGGCGATGGCTCCAGATATCCTGAAAGGGAACCAAATGGCAGCATCTATCTTCGAGCTGCTGGACCGCAAGACATTGATCGGGGATGCTGGAGAAGAGTTGAAAAATGTGGAGGGTAGAGTTGAGCTAAGAGGTGTCCAATTTAGCTATCCTTCTAGACCAGATATATTGATTTTCAAGGACTTCGATTTAAGAGTGTGCTCAGGCAAAAGTATGGCTTTAGTGGGCCAAAGTGGCTCTGGTAAAAGTTCTGTTCTTGCCCTAATACTTCGCTTCTATGATCCAACAGCCGGCAGAGTAATGATTGATGGTAGGTTCCTCTTGGTTTTATTGTATCTACCGCATGGGACTAAGAAGCAAATAGACAGCGTTTTGGAAAAAGAAAAAAAAACAAATTGCAACCAGATGTTAATTTACAAATGATGTTTCGTTTTTCATCTTACTGATCCTTTTCCAGCCGAATTCACAGACTTAAACCTTTTCAAATTCAGAACTGCAAAATTGATTTTTCATCGTTTACTTCTGAAAATAAACCATTTCTCCAATTTTCAATAGAAAAGGAATGGTGCTCAACAGTCGTCCATGCTGCCATCCTGTTCTGTGGCTCTATACAATTTTCTAAAGGTGTAAGTTTGATCTGATTAAAATCTCTTCAAATCTCGTGCAGGCATAGACATCAAGAAACTCAAGCTGAAATTCCTTCGGGAGCACATTGGTCTTGTCCAACAAGAGCCAACTCTTTTTGGCACATCAATCTATGACAACATCTTATATGGAAAAGAAGGAGCCTCTGAAGGCGAAGTGATTGAAGCGGCTAAGCTAGCTAATGCTCATACTTTCATCAGCGCCCTTCCAGAGGGCTACTCAACAAAAGTTGGTGAACGAGGGGTGCAACTATCTGGTGGCCAGAAGCAAAGAGTAGCCATCGCCCGAGCAGTTCTGAAAAACCCAGAAATCTTGCTATTGGATGAAGCAACGAGTGCTCTAGACGCGGAGTCAGAGCGTGTGGTGCTACAAGCTCTAGATAGATTGATGATAAAGCGAACAACAGTCATAGTGGCACATAGGTTGTCCACTATACAGAATGCAGATGAAATATCAGTTATACAAGATGGGAAGGTAATAGAACAAGGCACTCATTCCAATCTTATAAAGAAGAAAGAAGGAGCATATTTTAAGTTGGTTAGACTTCAGCAGCGAGAATAATTAGGGGTGTGCAAATGGTTCGGTTAATCAAAAATTAAATCAAATCGAACCGTATTAAGGTATTTGATTCGGTTTTAAATTTAAAATTTACTATTTATAATCGAATCGAAAAACCAAAATTTATTTCGGTTCGGTTCGGTTTTTTTTTAAAAATTTCGGTTTAAATCGAAAACCAAAATTTATACCTTATTTGAGTTATTTTCTATTTTTGAATTCCGATTTCAGTGTTTTACTCTTTCTCTTCTCATTTTCAATTCCAAATAACCAAAATCATCAAATCCCTAATCCTAAGTCCCTTGTCGAGTCGTCGTCAGCTGCCGCTCCCTCGCCGAGTCGTCGCCATTACCTCGCCGCCGTTGCATAAGCCGTAAGTCCCTCACCGCCTCGCCGTCGTTGCCTCACTACCGCCGTCGCTGCCTGCGGTCGTCCGGGCGTTCTCTCTTAGTCTCTCTCACTCTCGCATTTGGTAGGTACTAATGTACTATTATACTCGGTTGTTTGGAGTTGGAAATACTAAAGAGTTCTCTCGTTGTAATATTGTGGGCATATTCGAATTCTCTATAATATGTCCGTTGTAATGTTGTATTGTTGTGGGCATATTCCGATTATTCTCTATAATGTCTGCTGTAAACTTGTAATGTTATAATGTTTGGAGTTGGAAGAACTTCTTCTATTACCTTCCCCGTGGCTACCGACTAGTGAATTGAGTAATTCAAGGACTTATGTAAAATTGTATAACTTGTATTTGCTAGAATATATACAACTAATACAATTATACAAGTAATTGAAGTGAGTCTGTGCGATGAGCCAACCGCTCGTCGCCGCATGGGCCTATCGCCACTCGCTCACTTGTATATATTCTAGCAAATACAAGTTATACAACTTTACATAAGTCCTTGAAATTATTGAAATGAATTCAAATGGAATAAAAAAATCGTTGATAAATGAATTCCAATTTGTTGATCATTACTTACCAAATCTTGCTCTATAATATGGTTTGCTCTTGTAGTCCAAATAATCTCATACCATGCTCGTATCCGGAATGATAGTAATTAGTAAAACAAAAAGACTTGTACAAACTAGGGAAGTAAGACCGTTCCCAACGATCCAAGGATCGCTATATTTCTCAAAATAAACAAAAAGGAAACGAAAGATGAAACATAAATCATGGATCAATTAAGCCCTCTCGGAGACTTGCTTAAGAATAAGAAAGAGGTAAATACTATGGAAATATGGAATAAGGTTTGATCCTATTTATGGGGATTTCATAAATATTCCATTCCAAAAAAAAAAAAAAGTTCGAAACAATTGGGATTTTTTTGGAGATTAGATGCAGTTACTAATTCATGATCTGGCATGTACATAATGAAAACTTCATTCTCGATTCTACATAAATTTTTATGAAAGCCTACCGGCAGCAAGTAGTAAGCCTATCGCCTTGGTGCCGCTTGCCTAGCTAGATTCTTTTTTTTTTTTTTTGGCTTAAGCTTAAGGACTAAGGAGTGTGAACTGTGAAGCTTAATACTCTTTTTCTTATGTTT